CTTTGCTTTTTGTTATTCACAAGCAGTGGTTTCAGTGAGTGGGAGACAGCTCAGAAACTTACTTGGGCAGAAATTAATCCTGTGGATTAAAAATACAAGTAAAAACAAACAAAACATCCAAAAAAAAAAAAAAAAAAAAAAACCCACAAAAAAACTTCAGGAATGTCCATCATTATAGTCTATATAGAGGCCATTAAAATTCATCAGTTTCAAAGCCGACATGACAGATAAAAGCCATGGCTTTTCTCTCCATTAAATTTTATTTCATTTACCTAGAAATTTGTCTGTCAAAACATCATTTCCCATTTCTTCCAGTATAAGATTTTTTAGCAGGCTATCAAATTATTTTCAAAGTAGAAAAAGCAGAACAATCAAATTCACATACATAATGGGGGTCTGCAGTACCAAATAAGGAATGCTAACTTCATGTAGAGAAAAAGAAGAAAAAAGATTCAGCAAAAGAAATGTGAAGTGGCGAAGAGAGCTGAAGAGAGAATTTAATGGCAACATATTCCATTGGTGAACAAAAATGTAGGTTGATAATTTACAATGTGGGTCATGGTATCCAATGATTCATTAAAAAAACAAACAAACAAACACATAAAAATTCAGTTGTTTTGTGACTTGCCTTTTCTTCATGCAGGGTTCCTGTGATAATTCCACCTATTTTATATCACAGTACTTCAAAAAGCTGTATGCACAGGTACACAGACAAACACTGTTAATAAGATCAAACTTCCTAACACAAACCAGGACAGAATGAGCAGTCAATAATTTGTGATGTAATTTATGACTGGAAAGCAAGCATGTTTTACTTAATGGGGTGAATGTCTCTTTATTAACTTACTACTAAATTACGTACTGAACTAATAGCATTGACAGAGGCCTGTAAACAGTACAGATTTGAATCAGTGTTTTGTGGCAGTACAGTAATTATAATAACATCCTGAACAAGCTTTATGCCTTTTCAAGGCACACAGACCTGGTACTGATAAGCTTAATACAAGATCTAAAGTTAACAAACAGGAATTTAAGCAGTGAATCACAGAGCAGACAGACTTCTGTTTTGATACAATGATGGTGAAATACAGCCAGTTTCCCTGAGCCGGATTAGAGACATGGCACGTTTCTCCCTTTCTTCTTTCCTTTCAGTTTCTCAGGCAAACTGCATATAATAGCTATACCAGTGTGCTTCTTAATTCTAATTGTAAAGCTTTGAATGAACAGTATGAACTTGTAGTGTTTCCTCCCTGGTTCCTCTTTAGTGAGACACAGAAATACTAAAAAGGAAAATACAGTCTGATCAGAATGCAATCTTTGCCTTTCAATTCATTTTTCTCAGTGTTATTTTTGTGAACACGATATCCATGAGAAATCTTATCTTCAGAGTTCCTCTCTCTTACTACATAGATCTAGGTGAATTTATAATCCTTTGACACATCACAGTGGGTTAGTTGATAACTGAAGAGAATATAAATCTAATTTGTTCAAAACCTTTGCTGGTAGGCATTTAACAAAAGCCCGTAAGGCACTGAAATAGGAGAGAGGGAATCACTATTCTATTCCAAGCTTTCTGCCTGATTTACTAGATAACTGAGGGCAAGTTATTTAGACTCTTGTCTCCTCCAATTAGCATGTGTGTTGTTTTCCTTTTCCAACACCGGATCACTTTGAGAGCAGGGGAAAAACTTCACTGCGGCTGACTATTATGATGCTGGTAGAACAAGGCAGCATGCCTTAAAAATGCTGCATTTACATAACTCTAAAGTTGCTGACAACCAGTAAAGTAATACCAGGAAAGATGCATTTGCAAAGGAAAGACAAATGTTGCACACCTTTAATAGTTTTTAAGCTATAAAATTTTGATGGCTGGGGCACATGTGCTGATTCTAATTAACCTGCCAATGATAACTGGCAGTAGATGCAGTTTGCTCAGTGTGGTTCAGTAAGTTCTCCTTACAAATAATCACAATACCAAGAAAATAAGGTTGATAGGTTCACAAGTGGAAAGAGACTTGAAACCAGTTTCCTAGAAGAAAGAATGAATGAAATAGCTACAGGTCCAGGCAGCTTACCAGGGCAATGTGCCTTCAGGCACAACCACTTTCTTCCTTTTGACTCACTTTTCACATCAGCCCTCTTTCCTACTGAGTGCAGCTCAAGCTCAAGTACCAAAATAAACCTTGGACATTAACCATTTAAATTCAAAGCTGTCAGTCCTGTAAATAAACAGGAATTGTTTATTTATGGAAGGAATGCTCACATTCCTGTAAATAAACTCTTTGGTATAAGTCACATACACAGTAACAATCAGATTTTTGAATCACAGGTGGGATTCCTAGGACTACAGAATTGTTACAGATGCTGTTAGAAACACGGCTTATCGCATTTCTTGGTGGATATACTGTACATCACTGAGCTGATGATCCTATTGGGTGGCCCTTGCTGATATGTACGCTTAACTATCATGTATATCAGTGAAGACAGCCCCAGGATATCTAGGCTTATTGGCAAAGGTAAATGATACATACACTTCCAGGTGTTTCTTAAAACATGACAGGATTTTTTCCTTGCTAACATCAGAGGAGATGATTCTAGGAGAATCCTGTAAAATAAAATCTCACCATCGAAAACCTTTCAAGCTTGTTTATATGATAAAATCATAGAATCATTAAGTCTGGAAAGACCTCAAAGATCTTCTATTCCAACCATTAGCCATCCCAATCATGGCCACTATAGAAGTAGCTGTCTTGCTTTCCATATTGAAAATTTTCTTGAAGTCACAATGAGGTTTTTGAACAACTTCTGCCCTTCCATTATGTAAAATTCTGAAAGAGCAATATTATCTAACGGTGTAACCGGGTAGCTTGCATTTGACTGTAATAGTGGGAAAGACAGGTTAATGCAAATTCCTATGTACTATAAAATTTTATAAGAGCTCAAGGAAAACTGAGACAGGAAATAAAATCCTATGAGCACTGAGGAGGATACAGTTACCAAGAAGAAATTCAAATTACGCAGTATAATAATTCTTACCGTGTGATATTCAGCTAAAAAATTGAAATTTTCTTACTACTATCTGTAAAACCCACAGGATTAAGTCAATCCATTTCCCTAATGGCAGGTTTCTGAAACATATTTTGAGATGCTTGACATTTTCTTTGAACTAAAAAAAAAATGTTATACTGATCCAATTATAAATAATTGCGTCTGGATATTCCTTACTAACAAAAGAGGAGTTGTAAAGAAACTCTGTTTTAAAAAAAGAAGAGAAAAAGTGCCACACCAAAATATATAGTTAGCAACTATTTTTATTACAGGAGTTAAATTTAAATTATAACATTTTACTTCAAAATGTCAAAAAGAAATACTGTATCCTGAGATTATTAGTAAAGTCTCAGTAATAAGATAAACTTCTACTGCAAAATACAAAGCTTCCCAGTTTTAATCCTAATATGGATTAATGAATTGCATTAGTACGTCTTTTGTGAATTTAGAAGGTCTTCTTAAGACTTTTACAACACAGTAATTACCAAATAATCATGAGTTAAATTTACAGTAGTTAATTAGCATAGCAATGAATCACAATATACTTGATTTCATATAAGGATAGTAAGAAAAATAAATGCAGTGATGCGTGTCTTCTTAATAGCTTAAACTAGAAAAGCTTTCAAAAGTAATTAAAAACACTATTAGAAGATCTTTTTTTTCTTTTCCAAAAGATTCTTTCTTGTTTGTAGTAAGGTTTAGCACATTGTATGTGCTTCATCATGTCAAATTTGATTTCCAAACACTACTGTTTTAGACATTCACTTTAGGAAAAGATGAATCATGACATAGAAATGACTAAGTTTGTCTTCACTGACTGTTAGGGGATTCCAAGATTACCATCTTAGAGGTAGATTGCTGCACTTTAGTCACAAAGTTAGATGAAATTATTTGTCTTCCTTTTCTCTACAGTCTTATTTAGATCATAAGCTCTTCAGGCTCTGCCAAACACCTTGACTCCTCATCACTATATTAGTAAAAATAACATTATTTTCAAAAAAGAAATATTCACAACTTGCTCTAAAACTGATCAATGCCTCATAATTTTATCTTTGAATTAGGAAAAGGACAAGGCTTTTGTAAAAATGTTGTTATTACCATCTGGTCATATTTTGTGAATTTTTGGCCATCTGCTTTCGGCAAAGCTTAGGTTGCAGTGCTGAGATCATAAAAGCTTCAGAATTGTATCCCAAGTCTATCCAGTTAAATTGCCTTTTTGGAGCATCAGCAGGCTTCACAACTGACAGATGAATGTCAGTGTCTATGATAGTCAGAACCCTTTCTGTATTAAATCCATAAGAAAGGAAAGAATCAGCAATTCTGTGATATCTCTTGTTTTAGAGAAGTGCTACAGTGCATTTGAGAACCACAGATTCCAAGTGACCTCCAAGGATCCTCACCTTCAGGAGGTGACTCAAAAGAAAGAACATAGTAATAGTCATATCTGTCATATTTGCACAGATGGAAAAATAAAATTAAAATAATAATTTGGAAATGCAGATTAAGCATACCTCACCAGCACAGTCAAGCAATAGGGAGCAAATAACTCTACAAATAGCTATAGCTATTTAGAAATGTCTCTGTAGTTTGAGAACTGTTGGTTGTCTTAGTAAGTAACAACAGTACATAGTTCTTCAGTTTAGAACATATAATGATCAAGACTTTCTTGCTGCTAATGTCTTTTTCCTCTTCCTTTGGATCTCTTATACTAATTGAAATGATTGGTACAAAGCTGGAGGTAGAACCAACACACATTTATACAGGTTTTAACTAAACTTATTCAATTGCTTTACACTACTTAAAACAGTTTTCCTATCTTTGCAGAAAGGAAACCTGTCGTATCATTTAGTCCCTCTGGCTCCATGAAAGACAGTTCACACTTGACTCCTAGAGGACAGTCTGTAATAGTGCTGTATTTTGTTTCTAAATATCTGTAGGGAGTTAACTTTTACCTGAGTCTTCCATCCTCTGCTGCAGCTCCTCCTGGTATAATCTTAGTAATGAATATCCCAGGATCATCCCCAATGTGTGGGTTATCTGTTCCTCCAGCAATACTGAACCCCAGACCAGAATTTCCCTGAAAAAAAGTAAAGAGAATACATCACCAAATGCGAGATTTCTACAGAACTTATTTGCGGCGGATGAGCTAAGTATCCTATTTCATTTAAAGAAAGCATTTTTTTTGGCATCATCATACTTTCAGGTGGATGACTAAGCCAGAATAAATTGTCAGTTAAAGAGCGGAGGCTGAAAAAATAAAGAAGTCCCAGAGTTAATGGCAGAGATAATGGATGCTCCTACAGAAACGGGATTTGACCTAAATTTCTTTTCAAACAGTCACATAAATTAGCCTCTGAACTCCAATACGAATTTATCTAAGTCAATGAGAGCTAGAGGTTAAAAACACCTCAGAGCTCTAAAAAGACTTTTAAAAGGCCCTTCTTTTATAAACAGAAACAGTGAGTAATATTTGGCTCTAAAGAATTTTAGTACTTTTTTTTTTGGTAGAAAATAGATAAATAGATCATTGTTCAGATTCACGTGCATTTATAAAACAAAAAGAAACAACAACAACAACAAAAACAAATACCAAACAAGAACAACCAACCAAAACAAAACAAGACAGTGTTTCTTCTACTCTATTGATTTGCAACAAGGGAATGTTTGAAATATTCATTTTGAAGGTCTACTCAATAATTCTATGTACTGCAACCACCACTTATGAAATATAACGAAACATAAATAGGCATACATGCATATACATACACTTGCACATGCAGTCACTGTTTATCACATAATTTTAACCAGCAATTCTAGCCCATTTTTGGTAATATATATTAATTATTACACTTTTTCTATGTAAATTAATATTGATAAGATATTATATATTATATATATATATTGATAAGATACTTTCTTTTGTGATATAATAATAAATTCAGCGCAATATTGCACCATTTAGCTTTCATCATGTGAATGCCTTTTTACAGTTATGTATGTAGGTTATCATAGTGTTACAATATTACTGATATTGCATAATTTTCACTGCAGTGGATGAAATATGTTCAGGACACTAAAAGTTTGCTGCTGCTGCTATTATTTTTTCCCCATTATTTCATTCAGCATCTCGGATAGCTGAAGATATTTTTCTTCACTGCTGTTACTAGGACACGTATCTGGTTCAGTCCTAATGAGAACAATAGCTAATAAAAGTAGCACCTCTCTTGTAAGAGGCAAACAAAGTAAGGAAAAGTAGCAACAACAGCTCTTATTTCTGTCTTTTGAAACTCTACTTCAATTAGAAGCTCTGGCCTGTGTGCAAAACCTCACATGTTGCCTGTATGCAAGTGTATCAAATTCTCAATTCTGTTATCAGTATTCTGCATTCACAAGCAATGCAGTTCTCATGACTCGAGAGACATCCATGCAATCTGCAGCTCTGTTATCAGCATATAATTATGAAGACATTTTCAGAACTGAACTAATTTACAATGCAAGAAGAAGGATTTAGAACTACACATATCTTAATGTTGCTCAGATAGCTAAATGAAGAACAGAACACTGTATATCTATAATTATACCTATATATATGAATACATAACGTTATGTACATATTTTCTGTAGTGTTAATAAACATCTCCAGGCCAGCATTACAAATCTATAATTTAATATCACTTTTCATCATTAGGATCATCTCAGACTCAGGTTCTTTTCCCAGTATTTTAAAAACTACCTAATTATACTGTGCACTCAATACCAGTTTGCACTCTAAAAATATGATAAGAATATTTTCCTGTAAGTTCTTCTATTATTAATGGGGATAATCTACCAATACATAAGAATGAAAAAATGCATACATATAAAAATTTCAGGAAACCTGGAATAAAAACCTTAAAACAATGCTAAAAAAAAAATCAAGGACAACTTTCTAGAAGGTTTATTAGAATAAATAATAAAGAAAGAAAACATTAAATTAAAATTGTAGATTTTGTTTTTAAATCCAAGGAGGTTTTTAAAGTATACAAGAACCTATTATTCTGAAAAGAGGTAGGTTTCCAAATCCCTGTATCAGGGGAAATAGGACAGCGAGGAGAAATGTGGATATAATTTTTAGTTGAATAGGGAATACATACAGTTATATCATAATAAAAGAGAGTGTCTGAAGAGCTTTAAAAACAAAGCTTGCCTGTTATGTGGGATGTGCTTAGCTGGTACAGGTCTTCACTTCAAGTTCATTAGAATTCTTAGCAGGAAATACTTTCTGAAAAAGTTTCACACTTTCTCTGCACTTTCTACCTCCTACTATACTCTTTGCCATTACTTTTTAGAGGGAAAACATGCAGCAGTACTGAATGTAAGCAGGGATGTGGTAAAACTGCTACAGACTTCTCAGGAGAATCAGTGGCAGCCCTTGACATTCATCCACAAATATGCATCTGCTATATTGCAATACTATTCTGATTCTGCCCCTTAGGAATAACTTTTTAAAAGAGGAGGGCAGCACTTCTCACTGGCATTATGTATCCAGAAAATTTCAAGCAATTATTCAGGCTGCAGTCCTTGACTTGATCAACAGGATATACAGGCTCTCACACAGTAGATGGCTCAGCACCTAGGTATATCGCTGCAAGGCTTTTCTGCACCAGAATGTGAGTTGCTAAAGTTAAGAGCAGTTACGCTTTTGGCTTCTTTCAATTATAGCTCTTAAAGGGTCTGTACTGGTTCCATAGACAAATCTTCTTTCTTTGCACTTCAGATCATGGTCAACAAGGCTAGGAACATGGTGGCCATCACTCCCAGGTAATTGGCCTTCTAGGTGCCTTGGGTTGAAAAATATCGTAATGTGAACATTATGGTTAAAATCTATCATACTTCAGTTCTGAGTAGCAATACTGATATTCAGGTCCCTTCCTTCCCCTCATTACCCTGTCTTCTTAGTGAACAGCTTCATCAGCATATGTTTGTTATATTAGAAACTCATTGTAGTTAATGAGCTGTAACTCCAAGTATCAATTAAGTCTACTAGCATGACAGTTTCTGAATCTTTCTGCAAGGCTTATCTCCTACCCCTTACTTTTCCATCAACTCTGTCCCCATCCCAGACTTTTTTTTTTCTTTTTTCTTTATCTTCACAACTTCCAAGCCTTTTATTCATGTATCTCCAGCTCCCAGCCATTTTGTGTTTTCCTTTGAAAATATCTGCAGTCATTCAGCCCCAAACAGCTGAACCGTCACTTAGCCAAAGCATTTTCCACAGTGATACATTCATGCTTTCTCTCATGGTGACTCTCATAGTTGGGAGTGGTTCCCCATAAATATCTGTCATGTTAACTCAGTGTTCTCCTTCTGCTCCAAGCATTACTTCTCCTGAATGCTTACAAAGCAAGTTAACAATGAGCTCAAAGGCTCATTGATGATGCAGATGAATGGTTTAATAGCAACTAACAGCATCTGTACAGAAGAAAGAGGTATAAATCAATGGAAGTCTTTCTCGTGAGTGATATTCCACTGGAATTCCTTCACTTAGATTCACATTTAACCCTCAATGTGCTTCCTGCTTTTTTCATAATTCTTTGATAGAGGAGTTTTACCCCCAAACACCATAACATATGTAGAGACCAAAAACATCTGACAAAGTCTCAAGCAGATATACTAACTTCAGTGACACTGCTCATACATCATCATTCATAAATACATTTTTCCAGATCCAAATCATTTTATGCTCAATTCTCACTTGACATAAATATTCCCATCCTTTTGTTCAAATTCCCAATTACTACTACTATAAAAACCTCATGTAATTAGCTTCTGACTATACTGGAAAGACTTGCAAGAATTACTCAGCAATAGATTTTTTTTGTTTGTTTTTGTATTTTTTGTATATATTTTTTTTAATTTTCAGTTTAATTTCTCACCAACTTGCAAATCTGTGTCAGTCTCAGCCTTGCAAAAGGTGGAACAAAGTCCGACATGTTCATTTTGGCTCAAATCAATAATACTGCCTTAGTTTCTTGGCTTTTCACTCAGTTCAGCTTTCCTTCTTAAACAGAGAAACATTGATAAAACAACCTAATCAAAATAATCTCTCCCAGCCCAGCCCCAGAGGCCTCTTTCTTGTTCTCATCTGAAGGGAAAATCAATTCTTCTTAGGGTTTCCTACACAAGCCTGCTTTATTTATGCCTTTCTCATTCTGGGCTTTCCACCTCCACAAGGATCACTCAAGCTCAGCCTGAGAAAGAAAAAAGCTTGTCCACTATTCTCCTGATCCTGGAGAGGCAGACTGCCTCTCACATAGGCACAGCATCACTTCAGACTTATGCTGTACCTCCTGCCAACGATGAAAAGCGACACTTAGGGTCAGAATGAAATGATGGATGATTCACACGCCAGGGGAAAAAAACCCACAAAACTTGCAAGTTCTGGCCAGTTTGAATCTCTTCCCTCAAGACTTGTTAAACTGCCAACATAAAGATCACAAAAATAAAATGAGAATCCCTAGCAGGTAATGGTTTTGGATAGCCGTTAGACCCATCTTTCTTCTTACTTAGCCTTCATCTTGAGCTCCTCTCCTTAGATACACCACTGTGAGCAGCCATATAGCTGGCTGCATCTTTATAGTTTGCAGCATTTCAATTTCATCACAGAGTAATCCTTAAACGTGCTTCACACTGACTTAGAGTTCAAATAGACTTAGGTCAACATTAAGAACATATAAAGTTCTTTTCCCATGGCATTACAGCTCTCCATGGATGACAGCTTTCCATGTGCTTCTGCACATGAACTCCTTCATCTGTCTCATTTTTTTCTTTTTCCTGCCTTTCACCTTACAGCAGAGTTTGATCACAGAATATATAAAGCCATTTGATCTTTAACAAAATTGCAGAAGAATATACACCCAAGACACAGAAATTAAATTAGAAGTGTACAAAAACAGAGTTGTTTCCCATATAAGGGTCAAGTATTCTGTACTGTACAGTACTCAACTGGCATACCACAATTGTATAGAAGTTGTTTTCCATCCTTTTTTTTTTTTTTTAATTTTTTGATTATAATCAGTAAGGTGACACGATTTTTTA